GGGGAGGGAACAGGCTCGACTGCTCCCCCTAATACTGCAGGATTGAATGGGCGAGGAGGGTGGTATTGGGTTCCCTCACCCCACTCCCACCACCCACACGCCGCTAGCTCCCAACCCACCCGCACCACCCACTTCTGTCCGCCTGCCACCCCGCCTGCCCACCCACTCGCCACCCGACTGCCGTCGAGGAAACAACCTGCAACCGAACCAGCACAACGTTTCCTCGAACAACGAATTTCCATCGAGGCACGGCTGGTTCTCGTCACACTGCAACAAAACCCGTGAGTACTCTCTTACACGCACCAATCTCCACCTTCGTCTTCTTCTTCTTCCACGGCCAACTCGTTCGCGCGCGCTTCAATTTTTCCCTTGCACGGGCCCCCCCATTCCGCGTCTTTCTCTCCTCCTTCCGTTCCGTCCTTCTTTCTTCCGCTCGTTCCACTCTCACGGCGACCGATACTCCCGGACTCGGTCGGTCCTTCGTGCTTTTCATCGTGCCAGCGAATTTTCCGTACAACTCTCCTCTTTCGGATTCTGCCCACGATATTCCGTCTATACCGAGTGCGCGTTTGCTCGTGCAACGCGAAGAAGAATCGTATCGAACGGCCCAACAGACGGACGAGCATAGGACGGTCGATCGAAGCGACGAGAGTGAGAGTGACGGAGTGTGACAGAGTGCGACGGGCGGATATAGAAAGAGAGAAGAAACGAGTATCGTGTGCATCGCGGAACAAAGTTACGTGGTCGTCGAGAAGATAGCGTTCGTGTCCTCGCGTAGGCAGCCCGAGGACTTTGTCCGAGTGCGTGGTATGTTCCAGCTGCGGGAGAAACGAAGAAACGCGCGTACGACGCCGGCTCGCGCGCGAGTGGATCACGCTAGTCTCGCGTCACGGTGCACGGTACGCGTACGAGTGAACAGAGCAGAGAACGCCGCGAGAGATATGCGTCGCGTGTGCATGCGGACTCGCTCGCCGGACCACGGCCGTTGCTTCTTCGCGCGTCGCGTGTGTGCGCGACTACGAGCGTGTGACCAGAAGCGGAAGAAACGTTACGCCAGGCACGATACGTTCTCGCGGCGACCGTCCGAACGATCGGAAATTCTTCGATTATGATCGGAATTCACCTACGCGTCGGCGGCTACGTGGCTACCGTGTCTTCCGAGAGAACTACACGGACCGCTATATATTTATAAATCCCTGTGTGCGCCCGTATGTACGCGCGCGTGCATGCAAGAGTGGCGCGCGCGCGCCGCCGAGACCCGCTCGCCGTCCTTGGTTAGTCGGTAATAATTTCCGGATGAATTTGAATGGCACACTGCGCGCGCCTTCTCTCCCCCACCAGTCTCGCTCCCACTACCGGCCGGACCCCCACCACTCGCCACCGCTGTCTCGCTTCGTACCACCACTCCTCCGAGCTTCTTCTCTCCCTCTGCGTCTTTTTTCTTCTTTCTTTTCTCCGCTCTTCGTTCCCTCGAACGTTCCTCTTTGTGTATACCTCCCTATGCTCTACCCACCCGCATCTCCCCACCAAGCTTAGGTTTTCTTCGGAGGCAGTGGCGCTCAACCGGCGCAGAACCTAAACTGCCGTTGCACCCTCGCCATCTGTCGCCTGCGGGACGTGTCCTCGATCGCTCCGGAGGGGAATATTGATTTATTCGTCGCCGGTCTAACCCCTTCCACGCCGGCGAGAACGTTCTCGCCACCACCCCTGTACACCGACGCGCTGTGCGTGGCCGTGTGTATAGGCGAGCCGCGTGTGTACGTGCTACCGTCGCCTAGGGTTGCCAGAGGCTCCCCGTCTTTCTCCGTCCCTGCTCTCGTTGCCTCTCTCTCCCTCCACTGCGAGTTTTCCGCTCACGCGGCAGGCAACGACGGTCCGATCAATACGCGGCCAGGCTTCTTCCTCATTCCGGACGGCATCCCCGACTAAAAGCACGTTACGTCGTCGCGAGATCGAAATCGATCGATCCTCTCCCCTCGCGGTGGGATCCACAGTTCGATTGACAGTACGCCTCCTACCCACTGGAGTCGATTGGCCGGCTAACGAGCCGCGTTACGCGTTGCTCACGGATTGATTTTGTTGCTCCCGGAATGTGTTGCTTCGACGCGCTAGAATCTCGCCGACGGGTAATTTATTCGCGCTCTATCTTCTCGAGGGTGGGGCGATTTATGTACGTGGAATGCTCTTTCCTCGATCATCCATCTACCTTTTCTTCTCCGTATCGTTACTTCGAGTACTACCGAGACGTATGTAAGGTTATGTTCCCTTCTGTCATTCCCGATTTTCGTACGCAACGTGACACAAAATATGTCAACGTGGATACGTTATCGTTATGGATTAGAGAAATACTAAAGCAACGTTTGCAAATAGGTTCTTTCGAGTAGAATCACGAAACCAGTTGGAGTAAAATTTTGAATCGTAGCGGAGATTTGGGATTTATTAATTTCTATTGTTCCCATTGCAAATGCGGCTTTAACAGATGCTTCGTGTTGATTCTACGTTCGCTCTGTTTAAATAGTCGTCGGTAAATCGAGCCTAGTGTTGAAACTTGGAGCAGTAGGTGGTAGTCGTTTAGCTGTTTGCATTGGGGGAGGAAAGAGGTCTGTTGAACGTCTGGATATCTCGGTTGGTTAGAACGGTTCGGCTTTCGGTAAACCATGTGGTCGATGCTTTTTTCCCCCTACCCCAGCTGGAGTGGTTGTTGCGTAGGCTTTCTGCTAAGATTACTATTTAGGAGTATTAACGTTCTATGGGAATCCCAGCTCCGGTTATGTCGTTCAAAGGATTCGAACGTGCTCCATGAGGTTCGAGGAGCTGTTCGTGACATTCTTGGTTTCATCGCTCACAATAGGGCTCGTCCCGATGAAGAACTGTTCGTCTTTATGCTCGATTGGTTTCAAGGATCCCTTCCAGCGGATCGACCTTCCCCTTGTGTTTGAAGGGTGGCAAATGGAATTGGCATCGGCCCATGGTGTTTTATCTAATTACGTTCCGGCCTTTTGTCCAACGTTTGCAAGAACCGCGGAGTTATCGCGTAATTGATGTCGACGATTCTTTGTGGAACTTTAATTACGAGGGGAGATTGTTCTCCCTTTAATAATACCCCCTATTTCCATCCGAGAATCCTTTGCTGCCTTTAATAAGATTCCAAGAAACCTAAATTCATAACGCGATCATCCAATTCTCTCCAACGCGAAATTTAATTTTTAATCCTTTTATTTTTCTTTTCTTAAATTTCTCGTTTCTCCGGAAACATCGTTATGTTTCCGGGGAATTTTGTTATTCTTTCGGCCCGGTTCCCGGATATTTTGCCGTCAATCTCGTGAGACGAGAATTCGGAGGGAAACGCGTGCGTTAATGGCGCACGTAGGTGGCGCCATTGTCGGCTGTCGCGCGAACACTCGGAAAGGAAACGGAGCTTTCGCTCTTGTTCCAGTTCTAAGTGAAAATCGATAACTCTATTCAGCCTTCTAAATTGTAACGCGGTTCAAAGGCGAAAGATTCCCGGGTTCATGAATATTTAACGGCAACAGGGGGCGGATTTTTCGCCCTTCCTCGCCGGGATACGCCGGGAAGAAGAGTTAAGACTGCTCACGCTCGAGCGAATTGTAAAGTGGTCTTAACTTCGATCCAGTTTCTCGAGATCCTCCGAGCACGCCCGCCATTCCTCCCCGTTCCATCTTCCATCGCCGCGGTCCCCTTTTCAAAGGACACCGCGTCGAACCGACCACTTTCCCGACCTCCTCCAGCATCCCTCGAGTGCCCCTTGCTCCTCGAGGTTATGCCAAAGCGGAAAAAGCGTGGTCCCGCGGAGATCTCGCTCGATTCCCTCTTTTCCGGAATTTATAATTCGAACCCGTGTCGGGAAAACGGAACGGAAGCACGGAGAATTTATTCGCGTAGATAATTACGATTTGAAGTACGCGTGGAAATGAATCATCGCGAGAAATTCCTCGAAGAGAAATTCCTCGGAAGCTCGCGCTGATAAATTCACGGTTGGGAAGATCTATCCCCGAGGGTTCCGCAGTTTGCCGAAAGGAAAATGGCCCGGAAGCGCATGATAATTACTCGCTGTCTGCGTGCTTGATTTCCGAGTGGTTCTAATTGAAGATCCGTAACGACGATCGGCGCTTCTAAACGGCCTGTAACAGCCCCGATTCTAATTCCATCGCGCCATCCAGCTTCGGTGCAGGGAACTCGTTAACGTTTCCGATACGGAGTTTCGCGACGCCACTGGGTTCCTGTCATCGGGCCGGAACACCAGCCACGATTTCCGGCCGCGCATTAACCCTGTATTTGCGTTCGAACGCGGATAGAATGTCTTTCACAGGGGCCTGGAATTGCGATTACGTCGCCATTGTCTCGTTTGCCCTCGGCGATCCAGCGTTGCGCTTTGGCCTCAAGCCTGGTACACGCTTGGCAAACTAGCGGGGTAGTAAAGAGGTCGATACAACCCGAATGTAACGTGGAAAATGATATTTTAATGTTCCCTGTAACCCTGATCCGAAACACGTTGGTTTTAGCTTTAAGCCTGGTACACACTTGGTAATTTGTTCCACTACGTGTTTCACGTATTTGTCGAAAATTAATCTTCGAGGGTTACGCTTTATAGGTGTTTCGGTTTAGTTTAAAGCTTCGTACATATTTGCCAGATTTTTCCAGTTTTTAATTCGAAACACGAATGGTATTCTCGCAAGCGTGAACGGGGATTAATGTATGGGCCAGTTATGGGTTGTATGCATGTCACTTTAGGCTCGTTTCTCGTGTAGAATATATTGGAAATTCGTTGCAAGGGGTTAATGTATAACGGAAAATCGTTGATAACGCGCAACACTGTATCGTTCTCAATCACGTCGCCCGGTGAGATTGCATTACGGGGCGTTTTCATAGGCGCGTACGGGGCTTGAAGCGATGTCGGTTCCAACGTAATGCCCGAGTTGTTCCTGACGTTTTCCGTCGGGGTGAATCGATTTTTCAGATTTTGCACGAAGATAGAAGGTGGCTTTGGCGAACAAGATGTTTTAATCGGTCGCGTTGCAGCTGAATATATAAAAGATAAGAACGTGGGGAGGAACGTCGATGGAGTGAAAGCGATCGAAGTAATTTCTAAAAAAAAAAAAAATTCGTTCGACGAATTTAGCTCGTGGTATAACGATTATTTTTATACACGACTTTCGAGTCGTGCGAATATAACATTCTTCGTTAAGAGGGGAGAAAAAAAGGGGGGAAAATGTTGGACTCGACGTGAAAGTATTAAGAAAATGGCTCGGACGTTGAATGGATTTTTGAAAAATACGAAATTGCTTTCCACCCCTGTGTTCCCAATTGGTCCGAGAGCTCGAGAGCAATAACGGGAATACAGGGCTTTTGAAAACGGAAACGCAATATCCGACCGCCGAATTTGAGCGTTCCCTTTGCTTTTGCCAGCTGTTGCGACTTTTCGAAAAATTGAACGCTCGTCGGGAAACGATATTTCATACGCCACGATCGGACACCTTCATAAATCTACAAGATCGATCGTCGATACTTCGCCACTTAGCGGCGATCAACCTTATTCGAACTGTGTCCCCCGACCGGTTTCACCCTTTCGCTGCGAACAGCGCCTTTAGGCGCTCGGCTAGAGTTTCTCTCCGAGCGAACAGCGCCTTTAGGTGCCGTGCATTTGTTATCAGTAACTGTCCAATTATGCTCATTAAATCGTTTGTCGTTGTGCAGAGATTCTTTCACATAATCGAATATAATTCCCCGGTCGATCTCCCACTGTCGTGCCCACTGTGCACGGCGATTCATTTCTAAGCGCTCCACAGCGAAGGGGTTAAAATACCGATGCACTTGGTGTATTACGAAGTTGAAACTGATCTCGCGCAGATTAAAATCCCAAAATTACGCCGTTCAAATTCACCCCCGCCCTCGGGGAGTGCGAAGAAGAATTAATCCATCCACAACCCTCGTTCAATATTCGCTCAGCGAGCGCAAACTCGGCGAGATTCTTACATCGCGAGACGCTTTAAAATATTTGCCAAATTATTCTCCTTTTTCCTCTCTCTTTTCCCTGGAACCACACTCATCGCCGTGCCCCGTGGTCTATGCAAATGGCCCACTTAAATCGGCCAGCGGAAAAGTTAAGTCGCGTGGACGATTAAGGCAAGCGCTCGGGCAAGATTTAATTAAGCTTCGATGAGCCAATTAGCCCCCTTCGTCGATTCACCCCTCTGAAACGGTTCTAAAAAAGAAAAAGAGGAGGATAAAAAGAGAGACACCGTGCCCTTAGAGTCGAAAAGAAGGGACGGGAGGGAGCAGCGGTGGGCGAAGGTGGCCTGCGTGGGGTTTAAAATTGGTAAAGCGTTGGAAGCAACGTCTTGGAAAAAGGGGGAAATGCATTTCGTCCGGATTATTAGTTGTAACCGGGCTTACGGGCATCATTTGGTTCGCAGGTAGACGAGGGTTTATTGTTCCAAGGGTAGTGGGTGACCGGCCAGGGCTAGCAAGATGGAGGGCAGCGGCGCTGGAATTAGCAGGCTCGACTGCTACGAGGATATGTTCAAGGAGATAACCAGGAAATTGTACGGCGAAGATCCTGATCATAGAAGTGAGTGAAGGGGAAGGGAATGAAAATTATTTTTATCGAAAAATTACTACTATCAATCTTCCAAGGGGGATAAAATAATTCTCAAATTAATATCGGGTTTCGGAATAATTATCACATTTAGAAGGAATACAACGCAGTGTCTCGAAATACTAAACTCTATTTTCTATTCGTTGCAAGTATATATTCCTTTCCTTTAAATATTCCATATGCAACCAGAAGTTAGCTGACGCGTTATCCGATATCGGTACAGATATCGTTGTTTTAAAAATCCCAGCTTGGAAGACGACGAAAGTAAAAAATGCCTATAAGTGTAGAATGATATCTAAATTACGATAAATATTTCTGCGAGATTAGAACACTCGAACACAGCGTGCGTTATAGTTTATATAACGTGTATTAGTTAACGACGCGAAGTATGACGATAAGCTCGTGGAAGGCGGAGTTATTCTTGCATTCCTGAAAATAAAATCATAGGAGAACTCATCTTTATTTATCATCTCGGTTTATCACAGCCTCCAGCGTGCAGAACGAGTTCGAGACTTCCGTGTCGTACAAGAACGACGACGACACCGGAAATGGGACCGACGGCAGCGATGATGGAAACTGGACCTGCGAGGAGGAGCCATTGAAAGGCACCGATGGCAGTCGTATCGCTGCTTATCACGCCGGGAAAGCGACGTGGAGGTGCTACGAATGTGGTTCGTGTTGCACATTACCAAATTTATCGTTGGAAAATGCAAAAATCCTAAAGAATCCAAGAAAACGCGTTAAAATTTGCCGATAGAAATCGCTAAAACGATCGAGTACCATTTTCATTGTTCACAAACGTTTCCTGTCTCAACCGTCGAGCATTCCAATTATTTCAATTACGTCAGTTTAGGTCGGGTACTCTAAGAAAGTCGTTAATTAATCGAATTGTTCGGAACGAGTCCGCCATGTTGGTTTATTGGACATTTAATCCCCGATTTGCATTTTCGGGCGAAGAGCCGGCATTCGTGTAATTACGGTAACGACGTGGAGCCGTGCACGTGAATACTGCGCAGCCGGGGCATAAACGGGGAATGTATCGTGGAAATAATGGGTCAACGAGCACGAAAGCATCCCGGCTAAATTGACACGCAATTAAAGGGGTAAACAATACGAAAAGCAGCCCGCTGCTAAGCTACTCGGCTCCTTTTCGAACAAAAGGGACTTTTATTATCGAGCGCGCAGTATTTCCACGGTAATTTCCAAGCGTTCCGTGTCATCGAGCCGGTTTAAGGATTCCGTGCCTGTGCCATGCAAATGGAAACTTTCGCGTGAAATAATACCCCTAACGACCCCCTCCACCGGCACTCCGGCCCCGGCCTCACGAGCCGGCATTTCGCATGGCTCGTCCTTAATATCCTTAAGCCCGCTCATTATCGAGTTTGCGATCGTCCAATGTCTAGCATTTGACTACGTTCGACGAGCCTGTTAAAGGATACACTTGCCCGTGTTTCCACGCGAATTCGATTAGCTGAAAGGCAGCCATGAGTGGCTTTGGCCTAGCGACGTTGCGAGTGTTTCAATTTAGCGTGGTCGGTCAAAGAATTTTAAATCGGTGAACAAGATTCGGATGTCAAGTGGACTCGAGTGTCGATGAACCGGTACCAACGAGAATTATGTAGTAAGCGAATCTCTGTCATTTTCAACGACGATGACAGAGGGTCCTAAATTATTGTCTCATAGTCACCCTTCTCTTCTTCTGAGTCGGAAGCGATTAGTGTTATGAAGTACAAATGTCCAGAAATAATTTCCCTTCGAAATTCTGAATAATCGAGCAATTTCCCGTTCCATCGAGAGACATCGAACAATAGGAGACAGGTAACTAGACCCACGGGTTGGTTTTTTCACCAGGTCAGGTCTTCCGCTGTTCGCCTCACGGCTTTCCAGGCGCCGATAAATTAACAAATGGCATTGTTTCGACAGGCGACGTGATGGGCGGCGGACCACGCGACGTGGCCGAGCATTTCATGGAGCTTCATTCGTCGAGGATCCTCGCAGACGACAGCAGGACTAGGCAC